CATTGTACCCATAGATAGAACAAATATTTGTTTAACCACAGATAAGACTAGAAAGGGTCTATTTGCTGACAGTGCTAATGGAAACATCTGGGCCCACATTTGCAGTGTCAGTCAGCTCTGTTTCATTCAGCCACTGATTTCAATAAAATCTGTTGTAATTTCTGATCTTGTGAAAATTGTATTTTTATTAAGGCTGAAGAGAAGAAACTATGGTCCACTTCCAATCAGGTACAAAGTCTTCATCTATAAAATCTAAAATGATAGTTGAAAGGAGACAAGTATAATTATTTCCATTTTACAAATGGGAAAATAGAGGGAAATCAATTAGATTACCCAAATTGTCACATAAGCACATCACTGATATAATTTCCTTCCTTCCATATACAGACCCAAAGCCTGGCATAGTCACATAACATTACTGTAATCATGTTGTTGTTTGAGACATCAGCCTTGTTTTTCTCAGGTGTTGAACAATTTCCCCTCTATATTTAAATTATTTCTACTGAGATGTGAATGATTTGTGTCCTAAAGGTATTCCAAGGTGTCTGTTTCACCATCAAGTCAGTGAGAAGCACTGTGAAATGGGAAACAAATACCATGCATTAGGGTAATCTGAAGCAACCTTGATCTTCTTTTCACTTTTCTCTCTTTTTTATTTTTTCTTGGTTTATGTTTTAAAATTTTATCCTTTTTTTCCCCTATACATCTCTTTGTCTCTTCCCCTTTTCCTTCTCTCCTTCTGTCTTGAAGCTAGCATAAGTACAGCTGCTAATAATACAAGATTTGTTCACCTAAATATTTAACCAGGGATTCTTTCCAGTAGACAGGAGGAAGAACACTGTCTACAGAGCATGTTGTGCCAGCTCTCGTAAGACATTCCTTGTTATTTTTCAGCAGCCAGCATAATGATGTGGTTGAATAACATCAAATGAAGTGAGATGAATATCCTTGTCCTGCACGCCTTTGGCTGAGTCACAGGACCCTTTTCATGAGAGCAAAAGCATTTTACAAAAATCCTTTTACTCTGTCAACATATATAGCAGGTGACTATTTGTTCTTCTGTAGTTCATTCTAAGGTTAGCAGTTCATTAATTCTCAAGGATTCTGTACAAAAAGTTAAAAATTATTTGCGGAATCTGCAAACAGATAAAAAAGCAGCAAAATAACAACATGCAAACTATCATTTTTGAGAGGAAATAAGTAAAAATATCAATTCAAATTTATTTCAATTTTAGAACAAACTAGTAATGGTATTTTCTTTAATAAAATACCTTTTAAAGTATTTCAGTAGCTGTAATTCTCCACTGTTAAGTTACACTGCTACAGGTGAACAAAAGAAAGTGAAGGGAACTTTTGAAACCTGAGTTTTCTAATACCAACACATTATTAAATTATGATGTTCCCTGTGGACACATATGGATTTATTCCTGGCTTTATAGCACCCAGACTGCATTACAGCTTTAACTTCTTGGTTGCCTCTGTTGCCTCAGTGCCATGCTAAACTGGGACCTCACCCTGCTGTGAGAGACATCTCCTGAGGTAACGTCTGTATCCTGCTCTTGCTGGGAAGGAAGAGGACCAGAGCACTTACTCTGCTTGTGTGCCTTCCAGGGTGTTGGGACAGTGCAGAGTGCTCAAGGGTGATTATGTGTTGCCAGTCCGAACAACACTCACTCATGCTGTCTCCATGAGGGCAGGGACATCTAGCTCTTGGGCTGCTCTCATGCTTCACTTTGCAGGCACAAAATGGAAAGGCTTTATACTTTCTGCTCTCTATTTTCCATGATTCAGGATTTATTTTGGAATGGTGAATCTCCTTCTTTGTTTTATGAATTCTGAGGATGTTTTATACGTTTCATGCTTGTTATAATTCCTCTTACTGAAACATTCCTCTTGCTGAAACCAGTGGAAACCTTTCTGTCAACTTAGCAAAGAGGAGACTTGTGCCAGTGACTTCCTTCCTGCACTTCTGTTTTGTTATTTGACCAGTTTTTTCCTCCTACTGAGAAACAGTAAATGGGGTAACATCAGACTGGTGACCTGTCACCAGTGGGGTTCCACAGAGCTCCACCTTTGGCCCTGTGCTCTTCAACATCTTCATAAATTACTTGGATGAAGGACTGGAAGGGATATTAAGCAAGTTTGCAGATGACAGAAAACTCAGTGAAGCTTTTAATTCCTTTGAAGGCAAGGAGGCCCTGCAGAGAGACCTCCACAAATCAGAGGACTGGGCAATCACCAACCATATGAAGTTCAACAAGGAAAAGTACTGGATTCTGCAGCTAGGGTGGTGCAACCCTGGATGTTGGTACAGACTGGGGAATGAGATGCAGGAAAGCAGTGCCATGGAAAGGGACCTGGGGGCCCTGGTCGATGGCAAGTTTAATCTGAATCAGCAGTGCCCTGGCAGCCGGGAGAGCCAACCCTGTCCTGGGGGGCATCAGGCAAAGCATCACCAGCTGGTCGAGGGAGGGGATTGTCCTGCTCTGCTCTGCACTGGGGCTGCCTCACCTTGAATATTGTGTGTAGTTTGGGGCACTGCAACATAAAAAGACATTAAGCTCTTAGATAGTGTCCAAAGGAGGGCAGCAAAGATGGTGAAAAACCTTGAGGGGAAGCTGTGTGAGGAGTGGCTGAGGGCACTTGGTCTGTTCAGCCTGGAGGAGACTGCGTGGAGACCTCGTACAAGTTACAACTTCGTTGAGAGGGGAAGAGGAGGGGCAGGCACTGATCTCTTCTCTGTGGTGACAAGTGACAGGACCTGAGGGAGTGGCTGAAGTTGTATCAGTGAGATTAGGTTGGATATTGGAAAAAGGTTCTTCTCCCAGAGAAGAACACTGGAACAGGCACTGGAAGAGGCTCCCCAGGAAGTTGTCACAACACCAAGCCTGAATAGAGTTCAAGAAGTGTTTGGATAATACTCTCAGGCACATGGTGTGAATCTTGGGGCTGGTCCTGTGCAGGGCCAGGAGTGGGACTCAATGATTCTTGTGGGTCCCTTCCAACTTGGCATATCCTGTGATTTTGTGAAATGTTCCAGACCACTGTAGTAACCTCAAAACCTTTTACATCACTAAGTAGTACCAGTATCTGCTATCTGTATCTGTCACTTTAAATGACAATCTTATTTAGCAACAAGGAAACATGATTGCCTCTTCATTCCTGTCGTTTTCCACTGATTGAATGACTGAAGTATGAAGATCTGGAAGTGTTGCAACATCCTGGTGTTGCTGCCTGCCTACATCTGGCCTGTTTGCCAACAGTGAAGAAGGTTAAAGGCAAATTTGATGACTCAGTGTTGGGGGTGGATTGGACAGTGGAACTGGTGAGGAGTGAGAAAGATGGCTGTGGCTCAAGCCTCGTTCTTTGGATGGAGCTGACTTTTTATTTTGCTGCAATTAGCACTTGGGGGGTGAGATTGGGCAACATTGCCCATCCTAGCACCACTATGAGTTGTTTCCAACTCCTCCAGAACTCTGTGGAATTTCAGTATCAGTTTCTGTGGCATGTTCGCATATGTCAATAAGTGCCTCCAAAACTAACAAAAGAGGAGTCAGGGCAGGGAAGCGGAGGAAGAAAAGACAAGGAAGAGAGCCAGATAAATATTCCTGCCAAATTTTGCTAGAGCTGTGTGACTGGCTCTGTTATTCAGGTCCCATGGCATTTACTGGTGGGCTGTAAGAATACAGGGGTCTAATTATTAGCACCAAGGGCATATGGTTGCTGGATGACCAGCTGGGAAATGCAAATGAAATACTAAAAATAAACCAGTATTTTTTTCTCATCAAGGGTCTCTCTGACAGATAGGCCTTGTATTGTGGGCTGGATACAGCGGGGGCTGTGATGTTCTCAGTAAGAGAAAGATAAAGCAGGAGAAAAGAATGGGAAAGTGGTAGCCTTATCATTAGATGCTCAGTATTTGAGTTCAGCAAAAATAGCCATCTTGTAAGGGAGGGAGGTGATATATATCAGAAAATCTATCTGACCTGTCTATTTTCACTGCCATCATCCAAGGTGAGGGGCTGACAGGCCTATGGTGTCTGGAAGGATTAAGTCAGAAAGCTGGTGGTTGTTGGGCAGTAGGAGAGTTTGCAGGGGCTGCAAGAACCCCAGAAGACATAGGAGCCTGGAAGGAACATGGGCTGCACAGGGAAAAGGAGCTGCTAGGGAACTTAAGCTCTGAAAGAAGTCTCACACTCCTATCCTCTCTCACCACATTCCTTGCATAAGCAGGCAGCAGCCTGCTCCTTTCTCTGTCCTGGTTTCCTGTGTGCAAAGCTTTTCTTGGCTGGATATGCTCCTGCATGGTTAGTGCTCTCAGGCCACCTGGGTTCTGGGGACGGGTTGCTACTGCAAAGTCTTTCCTCAGGCTCTGTCACAAGATCATTATATTTTGACCCTGGTGCCTTGACACACATCTTGCCTTGGTCTGTAAAGTTCTGACAGACATGTATTTAACACCTGAAATAGAACATGTTCACATTCGTTTAGGTAGATCTGAGCAGATTTTTTGAATAAGTGTAGTACTTTTCCTATGTCTGGTAAAATATTTTCCTCCATGTCCTAGTTTCCCTTTATTATTTTAGTATACTTTATAATTTAGAAGCAAAAGCACTAGCATGCAGGCATAAGGATGTCATATGCCGGGGAAGGGGCTTCTGCAATAATACTGATCCCTTCCACACCATTTTTCTCATCTGAACGCACCATATACCTCTTGTCCCTCCATGCCAAAGCTCCCTTGCTACCTGGAAGTGTCTTGCTGCTACAGCAAAATTAAGCACTGTCACCACTGGTATAAAGACTAATTGTGAGTATTTCACACTTGCACAAGTTTAGGTACTGTGATTAACCATTACCCTTAGGTAGGGTGAAGAAGTATGATGTTGCACTTGAAACTGGTTTGAGACCAGTGTCTGCATCCTGTAAAAATCAGGGCCTCCCAGATGAAGTTTACATGAGTGTATGTGGGTAAACCTTTCTAACCTGACTCCTCTCAGATGAGATTCCAGCCTGGTGCACAGAGGAACATTGCTGTTACCCTCTGAAATTCTGGGTTGCCAGGCAGATGTATGACAAACCATCAGCCTCCTCTCATGTGTCCACCAGCTTGTCCTGCTATCCCAGCCCCTGCAGCCACAGATCCCCATGCTCTGAGGACCTTCAGTAAGACTTGGTTAGTGTGGTCCTCATCTCTTCCCTGTTACCTGCCCTTTGAAATGATTTCCCACTTGGAGTCATCACGTGGCAATATACAGTACTGATAATTGAATGAAGTGCATGTAACTCCACCTGCTTTTGATTCGAAGATCACATCAGTGCTAATTAGGCTCAAGAAATAAGCAAATCCAATCATTGATAGGTGCTTGCTGCGCTGCAGTATCACAGATAGTTTTCCTTTGCAGCCTGATCATTTAATCTTTCTCTTACCCTTTTCCATAGTAGTGCTGATCAAGCAAAACAACTCAGACGGTTAGCAAGAGGAAGCCACCATTATTTACATTAAATTTTGACCAAGTGAATGCCCTGATAAACCAGGTCACAGAGGACATAGATCCTGCTTGGTTTTTCCGTGCAGGTTCTCTTCTTCATCACAAAGGATATTTACAAATATACCATTCTTTCTACATGTAAATGACATTTCTAAGAACCCAACAAGTTCAAATTAATGTCTGGAATTCTTCTAAGAGGAAATATTTAGTATCAGACAGAGGAGATTGTGGAGATTAATGTATTCTCAGTAGAATATTGGCTGTTAATAAGAGTTATGCCTTATTCCAAACAGCTGCAAGTAACAACAGCAAAGATGATGTGGGCTTCCTGAACCAGCAATAGCAGTTGGTGAAGGAATAATGGGCCTTCCTGTGGCAAAATGAAGTCCTGTAGATTTTGCAAAAAAATGCCTTTTTCAATTCTTTTCTTTACACAGATAATTGCTCCATACATGGCCTGTGCTAATACTCAAATGTACCTTAACTATATTTTGCACTATAAGTAAATTAATTTTTTGAAAAGGAATATTTCACCTCACACTCTTGCATTGCTATTAAACTTGCACCATATTTTCATCTCTGTTGAGCAAAACTGAGAGCACAGACCATAGAAGGGCCAGTGCCAACCACATAGCCATGGACCTGCTTGAAGTCCAAGTCTCAGTAGCAAGTCAGAGCACAGCTAAGCTACGTGTGGGTTTTAGCTGAGCATTCACTGGCAGAACCCTGATGGACAGCAATATGGATGTATTTAGCATCCATACTCTCTCTCCTACCTCTTAGGAGGAACTGTTACAGAGGATTAACTTGAGGACCAGGTTGAAAAAATCAGAACTTAAAGTATATTCCGTATTGAAGGTTTTGTCACAGGATATAGGACCCTGTAGCGTATGGTGAAAAACTGCACCTTAAAGTGTTATGTGACATTGGATGGACAACTCTCTTCTTCCTGCACTGAGCTGGTACTGGGAAAGACTTTTGTCTTTGGCTATGGCTTTAGATGAGGCCATGGGGAAAATCCCAAACTCCACTAAGACTTGGGACAGTGTGGTATCTGCAGGTTTTTCACCTTGAGGCAGTCTGTGAATCCCAGGGCTGTCAAAGGCTATGACTCTTCATGACTTCTCAGTGATTAAAGACTGGTTACTACTTTGCTTATCAACAAAAATATAATGAAAAAAAATAAAAAAATGTCATGTAGGACTTTAAATAAACAAACAAGTATTTTGAAGTGAGAGGCCAACCAAATCCATGACCCTGAGATTAGCTCAGTTGGTTAAAACTTGGTGCTAGTAACAACAAGGTCATGTGTTCAGTCCTCTGTATGGGCCATTCACTTAAGTGTTGGACTTGATCCTTGTGGGTCCCTCTCAACCCTGAATATTCTGTGATTCTGTGGTATTCAGAATCTGAAATACAAAGCTTTCTGTACACACTCTGTAGGTATGAAACCAACATTCTAAGTCTCTTACGTAAGAATCATAGGAATAATTTTGTTTTTATGTTCTCTCCACAGAAAACTGCGTTTTAAGGGATGATCTAAAAAAATGCTCATAGTTGTACATGGGTGAGTAGATGGCTGAACTAAAAAAACATGTGATTAAGCTTCTTTCCGCTGTGCTGTAGAGTAGAACATCATAAATCCAAACAATCTGGAATCACATCATCATTTGGATAAGTAAAAGTTTTCTTGTGGCAATGCTTGCTTTTGAAAGGTGTATTCTTCCAATGTACTATTGAGATTTTCTTCTGGAAGCAAGTATTCTCACAAAATTCAGAACAGATACAATAATTTCAAAGTTATGCCTTAAAATTTTCTTTGAAGAGTAGTCCCAAAGTAGTAAGGGTAGCAGGAGCAGCAGAACCAACTGTAAATCAGTATTATGCTACTCATTTGGCTTAATGAGGTCAGAGCAATCTCGTACCATTGTTCTGTCCCCAAATTTAATTCTGGAATAATCCCTACATTTATTTTTTTTGACCTTGCAAAACTTGTTCTACATTGCATCTCTGGGGGATCAGTGATTCAGAAGAGATGTCCTTTTTAAATCCGAGGTTTCTGCTGCAACAGTTGTGTCTTCTCAAGACTTTTTAGAGAGCAACACGACAGTGAGTGAGTTGTTTCATATATGTAGAACCCCAATATTTTGATTTAATAATTCCCAGAGAGTTCTCAGAGGAGAAATACTAAGCATTTTCTTAGGAGAACAAAATTAAAATACACATAAAAAGCTGGTTATGACTTCAGAAGATGAGGTCTTTGGCAATTATACTAGTTTAATTATACCAGTTAATGCATCATCCCTTCAGATGTTCCAACACAACTGCTGATGAATCAGACTGAGGAAATCATCAGCTTCAGAAAACACATTTTTTGGGAGTGTTTCTAAAAATGAGATATGCTTATTAGCTGGTTCATAGTGCCTTATGGCATTACTGCACAAACAGCTATACCAGTACAGCTGAGGAAGGTGGCAAAGTGTGGGAATGAGAAATGTATGGAAAAGATAGAGTATGTTACATTGGCAACGATGACTGAGATTTTGTATTTTAAAAGATAAAAATTTCACCTTGCCCCTTATAACCACACAGTAAATTGTATGAGGCGCTGCAAGGTAGAATGCAGAATGTAGACACGATCTTACAAAGAAAAGCTGATGGACTGTAAATTAACTGGTTTTGCTAAGTTTGACTCTTTTCAGTTTGTTGCTGTTGTACGTATTTAAATATATCATTTCAACATCATTTATACCTTTGTACTTTAGCAGAAATACTTACATCCCCCACTAATCTTTGTCCAGAGCTGATGTCTTATTTTTGACAGCATGTCTCAGACAAGTTCTATTTGTCATTATAGACTTCTAGGAGCTTGCAAAGGTCTCATTTTTTTCCACTCCTTCTGCATCCTGATGACCGGCACAGCCATCAGCGTTCCACACTCTGGGGTAATAGGTCAGCATAGCTGCTGGTGACAACAGAAATCTGAATTTGAAGCAGAGCAGGTATTATGTTCAACCTGATACCTTGGAGTTTTGATGTTTTGATTTTTTTAATTTTTGTAGATCTTAGAAGTAGTTATGTAGTAAAAGTAGATTTTAGAGTAGCAGCAATATTACCCTTTACCCTTAACACACCAGCTCAAACCCCTGTTACTCATTCCCATATCAATTCCCTAAATTCTTTAGCATATTTAGTCTCTTTTTGAAGGCAAGAACATCCTAACCCTGAGCAAGAAGATATAGACATAGACCCAACAACCTTCAGGCCTAGAGCTCTGGAAGGCCTCCAAGGACATTACGTGCTCTGAGGAAGATGAAGATGAAGAAGAGGGGGTCTCAAGACACCCCCAGACCCAATTTCCAAGAGGCGTGGCGGGGGCAGAACCTGGGTGGTGGCAGGACGGGGATTGGGCCAAAATCATCATAAAACTGTGAACATCTCGATTTCGGGAGCGCGCGCGCTGGGGGTTATTCCAGAAAGCCTGGGGGCTCATTAAACCTTTGTATCCTTATCTTATCTCCTACCTAATTTGGCTTGGAGTCTTTTTTTCCTCACAGCCATTTAGGCAACAAACCCATAAAATATTCACAGAATTTGTGTAACCCGTTCAGTCTACAAGGTATTCTTTCCTAAAACACCTCTGGTGGGACCAAACATCACATGAATGAAAATTGTCAACAAGTAAGCCTAGAGGGTGACACTAACATAGTAGTGCAACAGTTGCACAGATTTGTAAATCCAGTTTACTATTGCAGGTACATATATTCCTGCATTAAACAGCTGCTTTTGCCTACACACATGCATGCAAACACATGCATACACTGCATTCTTACTGTATTTGCAGTCTAAGTGCTTGGGTGAAAGAAATTATGCCATGTATGGCCTGTGGTAACTACGTATGTGATTTCAACATACCAGCTACTGAACATGCTAATAACTGCCACTACCCAAATCTAGATCTTGATGAATCCTCCTGGGTCTTGGACCCTGCCTTGCCTTTCATGGTGTGTGTGCAGAGACAGAATATCCTAGCATATCCTCCTCGTTGCTTTCTATCTTTGAGCTAATGTTAGATATTGAATTTTGTGTGGGTTTTATATATAGAATAAGTGTGTTAGGTCAGGAGGTTTCTCCCTCCTAAAAAAACAAATGCATTGTAATTCCTTTCTTTATTTCCTTCTGTCAGAACAGAAAGTAAGCATCTTTTGGTTTCACCATGGGGGATAAGAGACTGAAGCACTAAAGTGATCATATGTTTCTTAGTTTGCGTTGTCTTAAACATATAAAGAAAGTAGCAGAACCCCACCTCCTTTCCAGAACATTTTGCCCTGACAGTAGTATACAAAGAGAGAAATAACAAATTTCCACCAGAAAGAGGAGATGGAAAAATCAAAACTGGGGTTGAAGTCTTTGAAAAAACATTGGAACATTTCCTTAACCAAAATAAATACGTAAGCATTTTTTTTCCAATCCTGGATACTCTCATAGTTTAATTATAGGCAATATATGTTTGATGCATTTTGTTAAATATTTTTCTATGCTCTGAATTACATGTCAAGGTCTCTAATGAATTGTTTTTTTCTCTAAATAGTGTTGGACATGCTTGTGTTTGCCTGGGCTCAGTGTGTGAGGAAGCTCAACCAGTCAGGTGGTGTTTAACTTCTTGCAAGATAGGGGCCACAGCTTCTGCTTAAGATGACATGTGTGAGCTACTTTTAAAATATATTCTTAGTTTCATGCAAACCATTCTTTCTGTGAGTCCAGTTATGTGTCAGCCTAATTCCCACACACCTCAAACACAAATTACCAGGGCAGCAAATACACATTCAAATTCCAAATATGCTTTAGTGCAGCACAATGGTTAAGAATGTCTTATTTTCTTTTTTTCTTTTTTTTTTCCTTTTTTTAAAGCTAGTTAGTGCAGTATTAGGTAGGTCACTCTGGCCACATTCCCAGAATTTAACAGTGGGGGCCTTGTGGAATGCTAAACGATGTGTATAACAGCATTCAGGCTCTCTGTGAGCCAATCCGTCAAAACATTTGCTGCTTTGAAAATGTGTTCTTCAAAAAAATGGGCATATGGAACTTATTAGGCTATTTGGTGGAGTTCAGGCAGCAGAGCCCAAGAGAAGCATAAAAACATTTGAGGACACAATTCTACCTTAAGGTAATAGGTTCTCTAAACTGTTCTTTTGCAATCAAATAAATACAAAATACAGAGGAGAAACATCCTGAATGGAGAACATTTTACATTCCAAACGGTCACAAGACCTTAAGTAGAGAACTTGTAACAGTAGTAAAAAAGCAGTGGTTTGATTGCAGCAAACCTGTTTCCTCAGCAGAGTGTATTGATCCTTCGCTCTTTAACAGTTCAAGTTGTATCAAGGAGTTCTGACTCATGATTTCGCTGCAGTGGATTTCTGTGTCTCTAGTGCATTGGCAGTGAGTGTCAATCAGTCTCCTTGGAGATGAAAAAAGGCAGCGCTGCTGCTGAGAAACACAGTTGAGCTGCCATTTTCCAGCACCTGCTTGTACCTTCTTCCAAGTGATTCCTTGTCCCTGTTGCAAAGTGAGCACAGAATGACCCCAGAGTGAGCAGATCTTCCTTCACAGGGTTGAACGAGAAGGCAGATTACACAAATGATTCAGATTAAATTTTGGCTTTGGCAGCTGTGGCAAGAGATAGCACTAGGTTTTGCTGTCCCGTGAGTAGCCCTAGAGCAGATTATTACAGAGAGTCCTCTAGGGACAGAATTATAGTAGGATGGAGGACTCTGTGCTACCCTTAAACTCTCTCCCATCCTCTCATCTGCTTTGACACTCCTCTGAGTGTGAAACTGGACTGTGCATGCTCTTTACACTACCTAGCTTTGATCATTACTGCAAATAATTAAAAGAACATCCTGTTCTTCTATAGCCTCTTTCACACAATTGGGTGTTACAGGCCAAAGTGGCATTTATCGATCTCTGAACATCTTTTTCTGTCCCATAAAAAGACTAAAAGTCTGGGACTTTGTTTTGTTGATGTATCTGTACTCATGGATATTTCTCTTTCTGTGTGGCTGTAGTGTAAGGAGACAAAAAGGTTATCCTGAAGTATTAAAAATTTATTGTTACCATTTAAAGTAAGGTTGGTGACATTTGCTGCTGTGGTATAGAGTGGTCTTTGTTACCATAGTATTTGTACGATGAACTGATTTACACAGCTGTGACAGCTGTGGTGCTTCATACAGAATCTCACAATTATGTTCTTAGCAGGTTAGCAAGTTTGAGACTATTGCAGGACACTTGATGGACAATCACCCTGCAGTAGAAGTACTGTGCTAGCAAGTCATGTAGGATCTGATGTTGCAAATGCTGCTTTTTTAACAACCTCTACAGTAGACTAATGCATCCTAGAAAACGGGTCTCAGCCCTGAGACATTGTAATGGAAGGGGAACAGGGAGCAAGGGGGGGAGAATTAAACATCTCTGCCTCCAATCACAGCTCCCCAGAAACTTCAGTGACCCTTGTCCAACAAGCTTAATATGATACTTGGCAATATCTAAGACTTTGTTTGTTATTGCT